GATAGATCTGTCATTTCAGCAGAACCTTCAACATAGGAGGGATGTGGGTGGCCTTACTGTTATGTACAAGGCCAATATTGTCAAAATACCACACTTGGATCCACTTCGAGGACAGCGTGAAACAAGCTTTTATGCCACAAGACGGGCAGAAAGCAGCAACTTCACTCTGGCTGTACCCTTCTCCAGAACATCACTCCATCTGAGATCATATATACCCAGGATGACTCGAGTATGAACACATTCGTACAGCATAATGATGTCAACGAGATAAAGTCAGTTGATCACATGAAAATGCTGGCCCACAGATGGCTCCAACTTCATCCTGTTCCCTACTTGTATGTCTCATAACAAAAATGCTTTCAAATGAGCTGATGTAGGTAACAGCTCTTAGTTTGCCAATAAAGTTAGGAATCCTTAACCTGTAAATAGCTTGTCAATAAAGCTAGGGATCCTTAACCTTGTCAAACCCTGTGTAAAAAAAAAGAAGAGAAGAGAGAGAAAAGAAAGAAAAGAAAGAAGAGAAAAGAGAAAAGAAAGAGAAGAGAGAGAAAAGAGAAAAGAGAGGAGAGAAAAGAGAGGAGAGAAAAGAGAGGAGAGAAAAGAGAGGAGAGAAAAGAGAGGAGAGAAAAAGAGAGAGAAAGAGAGGAGAGAAAGAGAGAGAGAAAAGAGAGAGAGAAAGAAGAGAGAGAAAGAGAGAAAAGAGAGAAAGAGAGAGAAAGAGAGAAAAGAGAGAGAAAGAGAAGAGAGAAAGAGAGAGAAAGAGAAGAGAGAGAGAGAAGAGAGAGAGAAGAAGAGAGAAGAGAGAGAGAGAGAGAAGAGAGAGAGAGAAGAGAGAGAAAGAGAGAGAGAAAGAGAGAGAGAGAGAGAGAGAGAGAGAGAGAGAGAGAGAGAGAGAGAGAGAGAGAGAGAGAGAGAGAGATAAAGCTAACGTCCAGAAAAGGTAGTAGTGTAGACACTGGAAAGACAAAATAAAATATGGACATTATTCTTGTATTCAGGAGAAACATTAATCCGGCTGGTATCATACAGTGCCTGAGGAATGGCAGCCAATCAAGTTTAATCCAAGGAAAATGAGGGCAATTCCAATTCCTTAGACCAAGAGCCCTTCAAGCCCATCTCCTCCCACCTGAAGGATATAATTTGAAAAGATTACAGGAATGGCTATATAAGTGGCTTCTGGACTTAAATTTTAGCCAGTGCACGATCATGAAAATACAATAGAAAAATGTAGCGGACAATGGAGAACAACTCTGGAGAGAGGCTCTACAAGTCTCACTTAAGACAAACCAGCTTGTGGTAACCAAGACTCCAAACGTGCCACTGGAGAAACGCAAATTACTAGAATTACCGAGGCATCAAATATGCGACTAGCAAACTTAAGAATATCATTAAGGAGAGTCAGTTAAAGTTTCTCTCAGAACCTTGTATATATGTCAGACCTTTCATAGAGTATACAGCACCGGTATGGAACCTTCACCTAAACATCCAGAAACTAGAAAAGGCCTAATGATTCGTTATGTGTAAATGATATATGAAGACAAACTAAGTTAATTAAACCTTATAACACTAGAGAAGAAACTATAGGAAAACACAACCAAGACGTACACAATACTAAGAGAACCCGACAGGTCAGACACACCGAAATGAAGGGACTCGAGAAGTGTGTCAGGAACTATTTCCTCAGTCCGATGATAACTAGCAAGTGGAGCGATCTGGAGCATTGACTGCCAAGCCCGTGGCCTGGCAGGCAGACACTTTCGCTTCACACTCTCAGTGTTCGTGGTTCGATCCCCGGAAAGAGTGAAAACATTGGGCATGTTTCCTTACACCTGCTGTCCCGTTCACCTAGCAAGTAGGTACCTGGGTGTTAGTCGACTGGTGAGGGTCACATGCGGAAGGACAAAATTGAGGATACCAATGGAAATAAGACAGTCCCCTCGACGACGCACTGCCTTTCTTGGATTATCCTGGATGGCTAACACTCTGGGGTTAGAAATCCTAGCAAAATCTTATCTCTTCCTTATCTTAACCTTCCTAGAAGACGCAGCTACCACTCCAGAAAAGACACTTACACTACAATTAGAGGAAGGCACACAGACAGACAGACAGACAGACACACACACACACACACACACACACACACACACACACACACACACACACACACAGTGAAGAGGCGGGGCCAGTAGCTAGGACTCGACCCCTGAAACCACAAATTGGCGAGTACACACAAACCTAAAACTGGAATATGTCATGTGGTGTCCGCATCTACAACATTTTTTTTAACCAGGATAAGGTGATGAAAAAGTAAACATTCAGGATAATTTAGTTAACAGCTGTCTTGCCACAAGTTAACAAACATCACAATTAACATCTTCCTCTAAAGCTCACATTATTACTACATATTATTAATAGTGCAGCAACTTCCCACCTCCAGGAGAATGACAGTGTACTACTTCCCACAGTGTGGTATGGTTACCATGAAGAGGCAGTGTATTACTTCCCACAGTGTGATATGGTTACCATGAAGAGGCAGTGAACTACTTCCCACAGTGTGGTATGGTTACCATGAAGAGGCAGTGAACTACTTCCCACAGTGTGGTATGGTTACCATGAAGAAGCAGTGTAACTACTTCCACAGTGTGGTATGGTTACCATGAAGAGGCAGTGTACTACTTCCCACAGTGTGGTATGGTTACCATGAAGAGGCAGTGTACTACTTCCCACAGTGTGGTATGGTTACCATGAAGAGGCAGTGTACTACTTCCCACAGTGTGGTATGGTTACCATGAAGAGGCAGTGAACTACTTCCCACAGTGTGGTATGGTTACCATGAAGAATCAGTGAACTACTTCCCACAGTGTGGTATGGTTACCATGAAGAGGCAGTGTACTACTTCCCACAGTGTGGTATGGTTACCATGAAGAGGCAGTGTACTACTTCCCACTGTGTGGTATGATTACCATGAAGAGGCAGTGTACTACTTCCCACTGTGTGGTATGGTTACCATGAAGAGGCAGCGTATTACTTCCCACAGTGTGGTATGGTTACCATGAAGAGGCAGTGTACTACTTCCCACAGTGTGGTATGGTTACCATGAAGAGGCAGTGATACTACTTCCCACAGTGTGTATGGTTACCATGAAGAGGCAGTGAACTACTTCCCACAGTGTGGTATGGTTACCATGAAGAATCAGTGAACTACTTCCCACTGTGTGGTATGGTTACCATGAAGAGGCAGTGTACTACTTCCCACAGTGTGGTATGGTTACCATGAAGAGGCAGTGTACTACTTCCCACAGTGTGGTATGGTTACCATGAAGAGGCAGTGTACTACTTCCCACAGTGTGGTATGGTTACCATGAGGCAGTGAACTACTTCCCACAGTGTGGTATGGTTACCATGAAGAGGCAGTGAACTACTTCCCACAGTGTGGTATGGTTACCATGAAGAGGCAGTGTACTACTTCCCACAGTGTGGTATTGTTACCATGAAGAGGCAGTGTATACTTCCCACAGTGTGGTATGGTTACCATGAAGAGGCAGTGTACTACTTCCCACAGTGTGGTATGGTTACCATGAAGAGGCAGTGAACTACTTCCCACAGTGTGGTATGGTTACCATGAAGAGGCAGTGTACTACTTCCCACAGTGTGGTATTGTTACCATGAAGAGGCAGTGTACTACTTCCCACAGTGTGGTATTGTTACCATGAAGAGGCAGTGTACTACTTCCCACAGTGTGGTATTGTTACCATGAAGAGGCAGTGTACTACTTCCCACAGTGTGGTATGGTTACCATGAAGAGGCAGTGTACTACTTCCCACAGTCTGTTATGGTTACCATGAAGAGGCAGTGTACTACTTCCCACAGTGTGGTATTGTTACCATGAAGAGGCAGTGAACTACTTCCCACAGTGTGGTATGGTTACCATGAAGAGGCAGTGTACTACTTCCCACAGTGTGGTATGGTTACCATGAAAAGGCAGTGTACTACTTCCCACAGTCTGTTATGGTTACCATGAAGAGGCAGTGTACTACTTCCCACAGTGTGGTATGGTTACCATGAAGAGGCATGTGACTACTTCCCACAGTTGGTAATGGTTATGGAAAGATGTCTACTTCCACAGTCGTATGGTTAACCTAGGCATGTATTTAAGTGGATGTAAACTGAAGAGAGTGTATACACCCAAGTGTGGTATGGTTACTAAAGCAGTGTATATTCCAATCTGGTAATTAAATAATAACCAGTACAAACACAGTTTTAAGATTAAAGATGGAAACAAGTCATGGAAATGAAAACAAAATATAATAACATAAAATTTAATTATCAACATGAAAAAACAATAATAAATAAAATCAGAAACACAATAAACATAAAAGCTTTAAAAACCTGATCATAGCTTTTATAAACTGTAATTTCGCCTAGAGTAAAAAATATTAAAAACCCTAATATAGTTGACGTAAAGTAACATCAACATTTATGTTGACGTCACTTAACGTTAGTCAGCCTGCACTGTAAGGATGAAGGATGCTCGCACCATGTTGACGTCTTGAGGTCTGGCCAAGACCTGAGTGTCTCGTGTATACACGCGACCGACAATACACACAGGTGGTGTTCCATACATGAGAACCAGACCAAGACACGAGAAATGGAAACAAAGGAGAATTTAGTGCCTATTGACCTGTACATAAGACCTGCGTAAATTAAATAAGCAAGGGACCTCACAATAAAGCAAGCATGGATCTTAACAAAATAAGCAAGGGACATGAAACAAGCAAGGGATCCCCAATTTACACAACACGTTTACACATCCAAAATATATATAAACGATTAAACACAAAGACGAGGCAGTACGATCATAGCTTTGCTTCTGTAGCTACGATGAGGTGATCATGAATGTGTAGTCTTACACAAACACGGGAAAAACAGGAGGAGGATATAATCTGCTCCTGTACAGGTGTCTACGGAGGATCTGGGAAGACAGGAAGGAACAGCACTGACCTATACAGCAGAAGGGCCGCTTGGCGTACTTGATCCTGCCACAGAATCCTTGATACCTGGATCGACATCCTGACGACCACAGCCTGCAACAAACGAATATATTATAAGGTCACAAGGGAACATGCAAAAGTTAAAAAAAAAAGGATTAAAGGTCACTAAAAGGGTCACATCATGCTATATAAGGTTACACCAAGCCACATCGCGAGGTTAAAGAAAATACACAGAGGTTAAAGGTGTCATACAAAGTCATTTAGAGTTGTTTAAGGTCGCACAATGTCACACAAGGTCACAATATATAAAATGGAACATACAAACACACACACACACACACACATATATATATATGGCTAAACAAAAGTGACAAAATGTCGCCAAATTACTGGCAATAAAGTTTATTACACAAAAAAACAGAAGTGTTTTCCCGACTCCTACTACTTAACTAAGAGAAGAAACGATGAAAGTTAGAGATTTGTTGGCTCTACAAAGATAATTATTGAACTTTTAAAAGGTAACACTTTCTCAAGATGAAAAAATATACAAGGGAAACACTGAGGCAGAAATGAAGTCATCAAAGTCCAGACAGCAGTAAAAATACGCTAATGAAACTGAAATAAATAAATTCTTATATGCGAATTACAAGACTAACACAACATCCAGTACTGGACTCTTGCTTCACGACCATGGATCTTACAATGAAGACGACAAAGAAATGAGCGAAATACTCAAGTCACCATAAGATTTTGTATTTAATGAGCCGTTTATCACAAAATCTGACAAGTCAAAATGGATTTTTCCACGAATGAGGCCTAAAACTCTACCAACATTTCTAAAATTTCTGACATAACCTCAACAGTACCCTACAGTATAGTGTAACCTGACACCCTAAATGTATTGGATAGTCTGAGGGAGACAGAACACGGTCAGCAAAAATCACTATTTACCTGGTCTGTGATAAAGTCACAAGTATGAGTAAGGATTACACGCATATTGGCCAACGTATCTTTTATACATAAGGCATATTTTTATATGGCCTCTCTCCACATGACTACCCGACACGGACAATGGAACTCATGATTATGTAAAAGGAGAAACGCAAACAAAGTAGACGAGTGAGAGGGATGAAGAATTAGACACGTGTAACATCTGGCTATCTTTATTGTAGACGCTACGCCATCCACTGGCTTTATCAATATAAATTCAGGGACATAATTGTAAGACAGTGGAGCTATATATAAAAGATGAGGTGATCAGTCCCTCAGCCTTGGGACTGCAATCAGTCCCTCAGCCTTGGGACTGCAACCAATCCCTCAGCCTTGGGACTGCAACAGTCCCTCAGCCTTGGGACTGCAATCAATCCCTCAGCCTTGGGACTGCAATCATCCCTCAGCCTTAGGACTGCACCCGTTCATTCATAATCCCTCAGCCTTGGGACTGCAAACAATCCTCAGCCTTGGGACTGCAATCAATGCCTCAGCCTTGGGACTGCAAACAATCCTCAGCCTTGGGACTGCAATCAATGCCTCAGCCTTGGGACTGCAAACAATGCCTCAGCCTTGGGACTGCAATCAATGCCTCAGCCTTGGGACTGCAAACAATCCCTCAGCCTTGGGACTGCAATCAATCCCTCAGCCTTGGGACTGCAATCAATCCCTCAGCCTTGGGACTGCAATCAATCCCTCAGCCTTGGGACTGCAATCAATCCCTCAGCCTTGGGACTGCAATCAATCCTCAGCCTTGGGACTGCAATCAATCCCTCAGCCTTGGGACTGCAATCAATCCCTCAGCCTTGGGACTGCAATCAACCTCAGCCTTGGACTGCAATCAATCCCTCAGCCTTGGGACTGCAATCAATCCCTCAGCCTTGGGACTGCAATCAATCCCTCAGCCTTGGGACTGCAATCAATCCTCAGCCTTGGGACTGCAATCAATCCCTCAGCCTTGGGACTGCAATCAATCCCTCAGCCTTGGGACTGCAATCAATCCCTCAGCCTTGGGACTGCAATCAATCCCTCAGCCTTGGGACTGCAATCAATCCCTCAGCCTTGGGACTGCAATCAATCCCTCAGCCTTGGGACTGCAATCAATCCCTCAGCCTTGGGACTGCAATCAATCCCTCAGCCTTGGGACTGCAATCATCCCTCAGCCTTGGGACTGCAATCAATCCCTCAGCCTTGGAGCATCAACAGCTGATGCAATCAATCCCTCACCTTGGGCTGCAATCAAGCCCTAGCTGGACTGCAAAATCCCTCACTTGGGATGCAATCAATCCTCAGCCTTGGGACGCCAATCACGCTACACTTGGGATGCAATCATCCCTCAGCTTGGGACTGCAACATCACTAGCCTAGGGCTGCAAAATCCTCAGCCTTGGACTGCAATCAATTGCCTTGATGCATATCCTCCAGAATCATACTGCTGTGATGCAATAATCCCTAGCCTTGGACTGCATCAATCCATCAGCTTGGGATGCAATTAATTCAGTATAATAACCACTTGATAATAATCCCTCAGCCTTGGGATGCAATCAATCCCCGCTTGAGATGAAAATCCCAGCCTTGGAACGCAACAACCTCACCTTGATAAAACAGTTTGGGACTGCAATCGAATCCTGCACAGAGATGACAACAAATCCTCAGCCTGGAGCAATCAATCACTCGCCTGGACTGCAATCAATCCCTCAGCCTTGGGACTGCAATCAATCTAGCTTGGGACTGCAATCAATCCTCAGATACAGGACTCAATCAATCTCAGGTTGGACTGCGAATCAATTCAGAACTGAATCAATCCTCAGCTTGGACTGCAATCAATCCCTCAGGGGACTGCAATCATCCTCAGCTTGGATGCAATCAATCTATCCTAGCCTTGGACTGAATCAATCCCTCAGCCTTGGTGATGCAATTCAATCCCTCAGCCTTGGACTGCAATCAATCCTCAGCTTGACTAGCAATCAATCCTCAGCCTTGGATCTGAATCAAACCCTACTTGGGATCGAACAATCCCTCAACCTTGGGACTGCAATCAATCCTAGCTTGACTGCAACAATCACTCACTTGGACTGCAATCAATCCTCACTTGGACTGCAATTCCTCTAGACTTGGACTGCAATCAATCTCAGCTTGGGATTGCAGTCAGTCGTACAGCTTGGGTACTGCAATCAATCCCTCAGCTTGGGCTGCAATCAGATCATCAGCTTGGACTGCAATCATCCTCAGCCCTTGGGACTGCAATCTAATCCCTCCCGCCTTGGGACTGCAATCAATACCTCACCTTGGGACTGCAATCAATCCCTCGCCTGGACTGCAATCAATCACTTCTGACTATTCCCTGCCTGGACAACTATGAGAATAATCTTCCAGCCTTGGACTCAATTCAATCCCCGAGCTCAACTCCAATTGGACTGCAATCATTCCTCAGTCTTGGACTGCAATCATCCCTCAGCCTTGGGACTGCAATCAATCCCTCAGCCACAGAACAGTATATTAAAATATTAATCATCACAGCGGCACATTAAGCGTAGCAGGAAATAGAAAATGTGAACGTTAGTAATGCAAACACTGTTGGAAGCAACAGCAGCAACACTAGCAGCAGCAACACTAACACTAGCAGCAGCAACAGCACTAGCAGCAGCAAAACCATGAATGATCCTCAAAAATTGCGTTTGTTCCTCCAAATACATACTGCGTTATATTTCTCTAAGCTTTTCCAGAGTTTGGTTATTTAAGTTCTAGAAATAACAATGAAATATTCTAAGGTAAACTTCAGAACTTAAAAGAAAACCATTAGAAGACAATATAAAGAAGCAGTATGTTAGTCGATATTTGCAAGAGTTATCGACAACAATGGTGCTGTACATCATGACTTCCAGTGTTATTAGCCTGAATAACACGCAAATTTAGTTATGTCACTGTAATAACACGATAAAAAGTGTTAGCTCAGTGCATTAGGAAGGTGAGAGGACACAGTTGAAGAAGAGAGTAGACCCAGCTGCTGGATAACACAGGAGACTAACACCTCACATTAATTACAACTATTATTACAACTCGTACCTCTAATAGCAAGAGTTATTGAATATTTACACACACACACACACACACACACACACACACACACACACACACACACACGAAAAAACGCTGACTAGCAACAAAATTAGACACAGAATTAAGAGCAGCAGAACGAACTACGAGGAGAGATTAAAAGAACAGAACCTAATAATACTGGAAGATAGCTGGAACAGGGCAGACATGATTACGACGTAAGCGATACTATGAATACAAGTAAATCTAAGGAACTAGCTAGCTTCCTGAAAATGTGAGTGTGCGTGTATTCGTTTGTGGTTGCAGGGGTAGAGAGTGAGAGAGTACTCATCTATTTGTGGTTGCAGGGGTCGAGTCATAGCTCCTGGCCCTGCCTCTTCACTGATTGCTACTAGGTCCTCTCTGTCTCCCTGCTCCATGACCTTTATCAAACTTCATCTTAAAATTATGTACGGTACCCGCCTCCACTACTTCACTTTCTAGACTATTCCACTGCCTGACAACTATGAAGAAATTCTTCCAAACATTCCTTTGACTCGCCCGAGTCTTCAACTTCCAATTGTGACCCCTTGTTTTTGTGTCCCATCTCTGGAATGGTGTGTGTGTGGTGTGTGTGTGTGTGTGTGTGTGTGTGTGTGTGTGTGTGTGTGTGTGTGTGTACATTGTGTGTGTGTGTGTGTGTGTATGTGGTGTGTGTGTGTGTATGTGGTGTGTGTGTGTGTGTGTGTGTGTGTGTGTGTGTGTGTGTGTGTGTGTGTGTGTGTGTGTGTGTATGTATGTATGTGTGTGAGTGTGTGTGTGTGTGTAAGTAAACACAGGACATTCATATATGTCCCCCCCGTTTAATCTCTGGATTTTTTAAATATTTTTATCATGAGCTTCATATTAATTTTTCTCGCAATAATATATATATTATATATATACACAGAGAGAGAGAGAGAGAGAGGAGAGAGAGAGAAAGAGAGAGAAGAGAGAGAGAGAGAGAGGAAGAGAGAGAGAGGAGAGAGAGAGAGAGAGAGGAGAGAGAGAGAGAGAGAGAGACAGAGA